GGTCAAGACCACTTTAAGACAGTACAGCTGAAACTTCGTTACGGAGCTCCTAATAACCCTTCCATAACCTGTTGCCGTTGAGTCAGTTCTGACTCATAGCAACTCTACAGGGCAGAGGAGAACTGCCCCACAGGGTTTCCAGGGCTGTAAATCTTTACAGAAGCAGACTGCCATATCTTCTTCTTTCAGAGCAGCTGGTAGGTTCAAACTCCCAACCTTTCAGTTATTAGCCAAGCACTTCACCCTCATACGGGAGGGAAGAAATGAGAAAACTTAAACAACCTAACACAACCCAGTAGTACTAAGGCAACACAGTAGAAGAAAGGTAACATTCTCTATGTAACAATCTCTGAAAATCAAAACTACATGAACAAGAAGGGACAAAAAGAAGTTCTGTGCATGGGCTGCTGGAATCCAGAGGATGGAAACATTTAATTACTAATCTCTGTCTACAACCATCAGACCCCAAAGTGATCCGATGAATTTGACATTTTTGTGAGGTATCTAACAATTTATGAAAAAGATCTCAACTGTCAAGATGGTAAATGGAGAGAGTGCTCATGTTTCCTAATGGCAGGTAGGACGGTCCATGGGAGGCTGGCAGTGGCTTCACTCAGGACTGTGTCTATTGATTCTCCATCTTTTCCATGCCTACTTTTACTCCCATGGGATGGTAACAATACACATTCTTTAAAAAAAAAAAAACAAAAAAAAAACCTCAAACTATATTCCTAATGATGAGGTGGGTGGATCAGATCATACAAGAAGGCTGGAACATTCCTTGTAAGCCATACACTTCTATGACAAAAGGACTTATGAAAATTGGATACTTACACTAGACTTAGGCCCTTTTCACCTGATAGAATTTCTATCAGTGGCCTCTCCATTCACTACTGTGGAAGGTTCACTAGAGCTTTTTTTGGGGGGGAAGGGAGTTGGTTTGGAGTAGGGAGGCGATTTTTCTCCTTTCTTCACCACTTTCTTTTCATGACTTAAACGTTTTTCACTATTTTCTGGGAAATGTATATTGATGTCTGGCTATCAGTCATGGACCAATGGAAACAAATCTTCTAAGAACAGCAAATTGATTTAAGGATTCCTGCCAACCTTCTACAGGGCCTAGAGAGACTTCCATATAGATGCAGCACCCTCACCTAAACAGTAAGGTGCAGATGTGAGCAAATCCAGGTGTTTCTCCAAGAAAGATGGAGTAGATGCAGGCAACGGAGATGCAGTCCTACTGTCAGAGTGGTCCAAGGCTGCTCTAGTGGGTGACTAGAAACCATTCAAAACAGTGATCATCTCTCTGACGTACAGGAGGAAGAAGAGCTTTTGAATTTCTCCCCCTCCAGTATCTACTCCTCCAACTTTTCAATAAAAAACTTTTTGTTAACTCTGGACTACGCTGACCAATTTATTACCATCTATAACTGTTTTTGGTGTTGTTAATGGATATATTTTTAGATAGTAGCATAATGATATCACTATGACACATGACACCATATTTGAGCTACAGAAAAAGAAGGAAGTGTTTTGGTAGATGGATAATTACAAGAATCCCTTAGTCATTTCTCCTTCGACTTTTTGTCCACTGCAAATATAATTTGGTACTTTGCCAAAAACTGCCCCCGCCAGAACATAGACACCCAAGGAAGATCTCACTGTGGCCCATCTTGTTATTCATGCAGATTAGTGTCATTTTTATTTCCAGGCCTAGTATAGTACTACATTTTACAAAGTCTTCAAGTTGTAAAAATTTTCCATGCCAGAAGGATCATCTGGGAAGGACTATTGAAAAAGTCTCTTAGTGGAGGCCTAATCACCACCTCGTTTCAAAACCTGCTACCAGCACAACTCTGGACCAGGTTTTTGACTTGGTGTTCATAGCCTCTGGGAGGGTGCTGGCATGGAGGCTGGCAGTCTGAAGGCTCCGAAAGCCTTTAAAAGGTTCATAGAAGTGCTATGTGCATTTTTGGGAGAAGACAGTGCCCAGCTATCATAAGATTCTCAAAGGGGTTCATGACCTCCTCAAATCCTCCTTAATCAAAAGATTAAGAATCTGTTTTTGAATGTCAAATACGAAATTCAGGTAGAATCTAAGCAAATCAAAGTGAAAACTCTCTGGAATATTTGGAAATGTCCATGTTTTCACCTTCATCTAGACCTTAACTAGACCATGGACCTGAAAGCTCTATCATTCTGAGCTCCCTGGGCTAGAATGCTTATTTTTCAGGGAACCATTTGAGTTGTAAAATCATCACCAAAGAAGACAGCCTACTGTTTGGGTCCCTAGCATCTCTATACTTTTCTTACATATTTACTAATGAATTGTCTTGGAAAATATCAAACCTAAGTCCTGTCCATGTAATTTACAAAAGTTTCAATTGTTCGAGCACTATTAAAACTGAAACATCATTTGTCCTTTTAAAATGCATATAAAAATGAAGGAGATGGAGAGGAAGAAAGGGCACTATAGTATTTCTACAGAAAAGAATGGCTTTCCACAGAAATTATCAAGTTTAGAAAGTTTGCATTGAAGTTTTCTATAAGAAAGATATTTTCAAAGATTTAAATATTGGATTAAAGTTTCCCTTTAAAATAATACTGGGAGTATATGAATGTGGCTCAATTTATAAAATTCGAAGGGGGAAGTGTGCTATTTAAAATTTATAAGCATCGAACATATTTTGGTTTTTGTTTTCTTATTTGCTATTTAAAATTTGCCAGCTTTAGATTTTCTCTTGGCACACACAAGGGTCGCACTTTTGTAAAATTTGGACTACGTGTCATTAAACAAAGATGAGTTCATTCCAAAATCAGCCACTGTACAAGAACAGTTCCCACTTCTCAAAAGGGCTGACATGCATTCCTTAGTACATAACGATACATGAATATGCATTCCAAGCAAAGGCACTCTGTGCCGTGAATACATAATACACACACCTCTGCTGTGTGCATTTACCATTATGAACTCATAGTTTCCCAATATATATTCAAAGACCACATCCTAGCAACTCTAGGCAAGCCATTACAGTGCACTCCTATCTGTCAGATGAAATGTATGAAAAGAATCCAGAAATTAACTGTGGCAGGTACACTGATAAGCCTCCAGACTCTGAGGGACCCCCACCCCCACCCCAAGCAGTAGTGACTACCAAAGCAGATGAGAATTTATTCAAAGGTAAAAGCTTAAAGACTTTTCAGGAGGAGACTTCTCAGAGCTGATGCTAAGGCTATTGGATACTTCAAAAATTCATATAAAAAGCTGACAATCCAACGGAATACATGTTCAAGTCACCATCACTGGCAGCTCTGGGCTAGAAAGTGACCCCAAGAGTCACTTTGCAGGCTGGGGAACCTCTTGAAATGGCCTTTAGTCGTGAGTTGTGGCACATGGCTGAAGCCTCAGGGGTGCTGCCATGGCCCCCAAATAGTTGGTGGTTGGTGGCTACAGTCCCTATAGCTGCTTTGAGGAAGAGGGAAGGAGAGCTACAGTCCAGTTTAAGACAGTTCAGGACCAGGATTAAGGAAGGGGTCATCTTCTTACAACCCGCGACAGGGTGACTCCCAACACTGCTCTGGGAAGGCAAGGGAGACCGTGGCAGGCACCAAGGTCAGAGCATTGGGAAGAGCTCTCTGCTGGAAAAAATGAGTGAGAGAGCATCTCTACAAAGGAAAACCTTACTTACGGCATAATTTTTAAATACACTTAGTGCCTCCTCCTCAACCTTTATGGAAAAAGTGTGAGAAGCTACACACAGCTAAGCTACTTAAAAGTTCCAGTGACTTAGGGCTTGATTTTGCTATATGACAGGATTGACGCTTTAATCCTAAATATTAAACATTGCATTAAATGGTTTTAAAAAAGAACTTGCTTTGAGCTCTGTTCATCCATTCAAGGATTATCCAATCTCAGTGCCCTGGCTAGATCCCTAATGTTTTATGACTGTTGTGCTGCTAAGCCTTCCATGGAAGATGGGTCCTCTTGGACTTACACTGAAATATACCCTTTTCCCTTCCACATTACATTATGCAGAATGTACTCTTCAGGCAGAAGCCGAGAAGTTCTACATTATGCACCAGAGCCTCAGTATGATGGCAGGACTCCTAAGGATACTCGAGTTGGTCACTCTCACCAATCACAGCAGAGACCCAAACTCTAACCCTAGAATTGAGTCCTGAATGAAGTTCTGAAGATCCATCATAGAAAGACAAGAATCACAACATGGAGTCAATGGTTCTGAGATGACTCGGGTGCCCCACACTTCACAGGCAATTGCTGTTGTTCATCTGTCATTCTCACTTGGGCAGAAGATGGAGGCAGTGAGCGAACAGCAGTAAGGCAGCCCATAGCTAGCTGAAGAATGATTTTGCAATGAATGAAAGAGGCAGGAGGAATACCTAACTATAACCTCAACACAGTCAAATATTGCTAAAGAGCCTCTGGGGGGCTACATCAAATTAACCAGGGAATGAAGATTATACGAGAGCACTATCCTATGGATCAAGTATCTCTCCGTATGTGCCTGTGTAATATATATGCACATATTTGCATATATCTATATGGCACACAAATTACTCAGGGAAAACACTCTGGCAATTAATTTGAGACTCAAATGACATGGTTAAACATAGATCATAGTTTCTAAACACAATGTTAGTAAAACAAAATTTATTTGTAAAACAGGACCTGTTATATAAAATGGCACACAATCAAGTTATACAAAAATACAAAATTTCTTTCTGATTACAGTTCTAGTTGCAAATGATGATTAGAAAGCATTCCTGGTGGCTTCCAATAGCTGCGATTGCGAGCATATGGAACAGGGAGCAGCAAGAGTCCATGATGCTGGGATGTCCAAGTGAGTAGAACCTAATTTCCACATTCACGAGTCCCGTCAGGTCATTTTGGAAGGATACCTCTGAAAATTGCTAGCTCCTGGCATGTCTTCTGTTTTGATACCCATCTTCCAGACTTTTGCCAACCCTAAACTGCCAACCCAATGCGTCCGATTGTCCACAATCTGTGTGGCCATGAAACGGGTGACACTCGGACTTTCCGACATCATTCGCTCTCTCACTGATCTGCACAACTGTTAGTGACATGATTCTATTGATTCCATTTCAAATGGTATAAAAAAGTACAGTGATGCTGTCTGCTGACACTGGATGTTCACTTCTGGAGAACTACTGTTTCAAAATACCTACTCTTACAATGTTGGTTTCCCAGTTCATGCCAAGACATGAGCTCTAAATTGTGAGTTGTTTTGTTTGTTTGGAAATCCAGATTCTTATTGCAAATATTCTGAAAAATCAGAAATATTACATGAGCTTTGAAAATAAAACCAAGGCATTTAGCAATTTTTAGCCTAACTAGAGTAAAGAACACCGACACTTTAAAAAAAAAAAAAATCTAATTTACCTTTTGCAGCAATTTAAAGGCCCAACCTTCTGAAAGGAAGCACACTAGCAAACAGCTACTTATTAAGCCCTAGTGACATTAATTGTAAGCTTTTCCATAACACCGTTCTAAATCACTGTCTTATTCTGGTAGGAGGCAATGCTTTCTTTCAAAAGATTCTCCTTCCATGGAATGATAAAATGCTGAGGCTTTTTTTTTTTCTTTTTCATTTTTTTTTGTACAGAGCCTGTATTTAGTGCAATAAGTTTAAAAAATTTGCTCTGAAATATTTACTTTACATTAACAAAAATAGCTTTTTTTAAAAAAATTGTAACAAAAAGGAGTTATCGCATAAACAGATCATGAATTATTCTTAGCAAATTACACTTTTTTTTTCTTAAAGCATTCACCATTACAATAAGCAGAACAATGGAATATTAGCCATTCATATCTGGTAAGCTTCAGGAATAAAAAAACAAAAAACAAAAAACCACAACTAAAACCTACCCCCAAACAAAAAGAACAGTCTACACTCGAGGATTACAACATTAACCAATTCTTCAGTTAAACATTATAGGATTCTGGACACTCAATGAGTTTCCAGGGAGAGGAGCACCTGCCGGTGTATTTTCGGATTTTACAACAAGCGTTTGAATGGAATGGCCTCTGAGCCCTAAGCCCCTGAGGGTCCTCTGAAGCAGAAGGCCAAGCATCGGAATTCTCAATGCTCTGTGTTCCACGTGCCTCTCCCTTCTTTATTCCCCCCAGCATTACTTAATCTGCAAACCAATACACAGAAACTTAAGGCTAAACTTGCTGGGTGCTCCCGCTTCCTTGCAAATCAGGCACACAACAAACGTGTGGAGGATGCAACTAAAGTCAAAACTAAAAGACAAAACAGAAGAAAAATGTTTGCATAAGAAAGATTATCTACCCTTTTCTTTTTTTACCTACTCTCTTTTATAGAAGCATTAGGGTAAACTACAAATACCTGAGGAGTTGGTTACTTTTTAATGTTCACTGACAAATGCTATGACCTATTATGAAAATTCCCATATTGGGCCCACTTGCATGTTTCTAAAAGTAAAATGACATGGCTTCTTGATTGGGCAGAAGTGACTGGAGTAATTCCTTCTTCATCTGAAAGCACATGCCTAGTCTTGTCCCACTAGGACTTATGCATCAGTGAAATAAGATCGAGATTTTAGACACACACAGGGAATCAACCCCGAAAACGTTTAGACAAAAGAATTTGGTACAGTAATTTTTTCTAATTTAAATAATTAAAGTTAAAATCTCCTCTAAGTTATTAAAAATGTTAATCAGATATGAATCTCAACATTTCCATTAAGACAGTTACAATTGAAAACATTAAATGACGGAAGTTGCCTTGTAAAAGCCACCCGTATGAAAGGAGTGCATGTTTGACAAAAATAAGCATAAAAAAGGTATTAAATCCCTGTTCCTTTTCTCTGATTTTGGCTGATTATGTGTGTGTGTGTATATATACGCATATACACATATACGTATGTACACACCCCCACACACACAAATACATAGTTATGTGTATATATTGTTTTGGAATGTCAATGGGTTCCGTAACGGTCGGCTAGGTTCAAGCGGAACTCGCTCCCGAAGCCTAGAAAACAAAGTCATACAGAGTATAATCTTAGACAGTTACCATTATAAAGAGATCAAGAATGATGTTACAGATAGACACATGGTCACACACAGCAACAGGGCGAATGGGTGGTGAAGCCTCATCCCCGAATCTATCCTACGGGGCTGATACTCCACATGTGTTGAACACGTTAACGACACACTTCCTTCTAGATCGGGTCTGAGATATACAGACTTCTCAAGCCCATGTTCCTTTACTATCCCACTTCTCCCCTCTGTTAAGTTCTTTACGGTATGATAGCAAGCAGAGGGCCAGAACAGCTCTTCCCTAAAACTCTTCACCACACTTGGAATTTGTTTTGCCAGAATAAGTTCCAAAGAATTGCAGAAAAGACCTCACAAACTTTCAAAGTTTCCTTAAATAGTGAGGTTCTCTGTCTCCCAAAAATAAAAAAAGTCCAAGAGGAAAACCAGAGGTTCTTATATTTAGCTCCACGATCTCCTGTCAAAAGGATAATTTAAAACCTCATTTTCCTGAACATACATTATAGGCTAAAAATAAACCCTCAATTAAAATATCCCATTAAGAAGGAAGACAGGCAGTGAACTCCAACAGCAGTATTCCCAGAGATACTGCAAAACTGGAGTGACGCCCTTCTACAGAACTTGCATCTAAGGGAGTAACATGTGAATAAAAACCAGCAAATCAAACGAGTAATCCTGAATTCTACCAACCCGCAACCTCACGGGGAGCTTCTCAGATAATTCCTTAGAGAGGCATCTAAGGTGGTGGTGGAAGTCGGGGTTAACTGTCATCATGCAGACTGTGAAGGACTGATAGGAATTAGAGAACAGCTAAGAGACAGGAATGAAAAAGAGAATTGGGGGTAATAATGTGCTTCACAAATGAAGCTACACCTCACACTTCTCTTTCAGGACATTTTTTAACCATTTAAAACAAATGCCACCATATCAAAGTAAGGAAGAACAGTGCACAGAGAAGATGTACCTGGGGACACTGGGGGGGGGGGGGTGGGGTGGGGGATGGGTTTCAACCATCAATCTCTAAGCAATAACTAGGTGAACAACAAAGTAATAAAGCAAAGACTGAATGACAACTTTGATGCACTGTTTCAGGTAAGGGTTTAAAACTGAGACTACTGCTAGGGAAATTTTCTTTTTAAATATTTCCTTTCCGGTAGAATGCCACATCATCTGAGTGATGCTAATATGAAACAACCCACGCCCCACCCCACCCTGCCCCTGAAAAAAACCCACTGCCGTCAAGCCAATTCCGCCTCACAGCGGCCCTACAGGACAGAGTAAAACTGGCCCACAAGGTTTCCAAGGCTGCCAATCTTTATGGAACCAGACTGCCTCACCCTTCCCCATGGAGCATCTGGTGGGTTCGAACCGCCAACCTTTTCTTTGGAGAGCAGCCACATGCTTTTAAGTACTCTACCACCAGAGCTCCTACAGCCAGATTAGCTAGACCTAAACCTTCAAATATCTTTCAATGCTTATCACTGAAGAATGACTTAAGGGAAGCGTCCATCCCAGGAAAGACAGGAGGGAAAGACAGGTTATACTAAATGAGGGGTTTACAATTTAAGACTTTTGTGTTCTTTTAAATTTTAGGCTTGGAACCTTCATTTCCTGAACAATTAGGACAACCCAGAAATGGAAGACAGCCATCCTCATTTCTCCGTATTACCTAAGGCTAGCAGTGTCTTCGCCACTCTCCCCTTCATCCTCTGTGAAGCAGCCGTGACACAGGACAACAGGATGGAGGGATTGCTCATTAGCTCCTTTCCTCCCTCAGTCCAATTCTGGCTGATGCCCATTTAAAACTAAGAGCTATGTGGACATCCTACATCCTTTCACTTCTGATGAGAGTGAGTTGGGCCTAGGGAAACGACACTTCGGAATCCTTACAAATGTCAACATTATGAAGACCAGGGCCAAAACAGGCACTGGAGGGAACATCTAAACTGGAGGGAACAACTAAACATTTGCTGAAGCTTTATTGGAATATGCAATTATTTTGCATTTATATATATATCTGTTCCCACTCCAACAAATGAACCTATTTCCTTTACTCTTACATACTTAAATGGGCTTGTTTTATTACCATGTATTAAGGTGAAAGGCTACAAATCAAAGTGTTTATTAAACCGTTAAGGAAAAAAGAGAGCCCTCACGCTTTGGGACAGTTTATGCAATGAGATGGTATGTTGTTTAAAATGAATTGTTTAAGGATCTAGATAATTATGTAATATTTTGAAGTAAAAATTCTATTTAAGAAACAAAACATCTATAAAATGAGACTGATAGATATTAGAGAGATCTGTCATTAAGCAGTGATGGGGATATGTAGGGGAAGAGTCATTCAGGATTCTCTTGCACTGATTAACTTCAGGTTACTTTTTTCAAACAACAATGGAGTAGATACATATATGTCTCCCACTGATGAGAGACCATTTAATCCTTCTCACAATTAAGCTGGGTTAGACTAGACCAGGGAGCCTTATGGAGTGAGGATGTGGGCACTGATGCAGATTGCCTTGTTTGCTACTGAAAAAGAGCTTAAGAAACAAAGAAAGTACAATTCAGGCAACAGAGAAGAAAGTCAACGAGGAAAAAGAGCAACATAACCAGAACAGTATCTGTCTAAATGGGGAAAATATGAATTTTAGCAAGCTGAAAGGAACGGCTATCACTGCCTCCCAAATGATAAAAAATAAAATCGAATGATCAGTTCAAGTGTGCAACCAAAGGCTCAGTCTGGTGAGAATGGAACACTGACAGTTTAATAGAAAGAGAGAAACCCAGCTTCACCTTAGAGACGAAAGGACCTGGCCCTGTCCCACCTCAGGCACTAGGGAAGGTGCTGTTCCTTTCAGCTTACTTTTACAGAAGATGGTCTCATTTGTGACAAGAATTCTGCCATCCAAGTGATGGGCAAGCACCCAAACAGAAAGAGCAGCACGTCCTGCGTGACACAGATAACAAAAGCTTCTCCGGAGGAAGTGTAGTCAGTGAAAACAGACAGAGAGAGGAAGTGAAAGTGAAAATCGGGGAGGGCGGCCGCCTCCTCATCTCCACCTACCATCGGTTTTAGCTCTCGGGCGTCGGCAGCACCTCCCTTACCAGCTTCTTTCATTGCTTTCCTACTGTTTTCCACAAACTCCTGCAAAACAGGAACCAAATTGCATCAATCTGGGGCCCTCACGGGTTTCAATGGGTAGATGAATTCTCAAAGACATTGACATCTTAGACTCAACTCTGTAAACAAACAGCCTAAAAACATCACAATAAGTCATATTTCATATCACACCCAAGGGCTGCTAAATTTGTAGGGATAGATTGCAAAGCACTGATGAAAAATCTTTTTGGTATCCAGTCACTGCGACAACCTCACCGAGGCTCAAAGACATACCACTACCTCCATTTGGATGAGAATATCTAGTAATTTTTGAAAAGATTATTTCTCTCCCACATAAAACCAAAACCAATCTGCTGTTGTCAAGTCAACTCACAGCAACCTGAAAGGTCAGAGTAGAACTGTCCTATGGGGTTTCCAAGGCTGTGATCTTTAGGGAAGCAGACTGCCTCATCTTTCTGCCATGGAGCAGCTGGTGAGTTCAAACTGCCAACCTTTTGCTTAGCAGCTGAATTCTTTAATGACTGTTCCACCAGAGCTGCTTCTCTCTACACACAGCATATTGTTTTATTTTTTCCATATCAAGGTTAAGAAAAACAAGAACATTTTATTCCTTAAGTCTCCTTTTTAAAATAACCCCAGAAGGTGAAAGAAAAAGCATCGATACTATTAAGTACAAAATATATATTTTTTCTTTTTTTTAACCAAACAATAAATAAACCACTTAAAAAAATGTTTATTTGGGTTTGACATTACTGCACAGATTAAGAAGGCAGTACCAACTGGAACCTGTGGTCAGAAGTAGTGAAAATGGGAATATCCCCTAAAGGAAACATTTCTATCCTGTCAAAGCAAACTTTCATTATGTCCTCAGCCTCCTTGCAGCAAAATCAGAGGGAGAAAAACTATATGTTCACCTTGATTTTGATCAGTTTAACAAGAAAAAAAAAAACCACTCTTCTTCTAGATGCCTTATTCACAGAGAGACACAAAGCTCATATGTCAAATCCCGTCATGAAAATAACCAGTTACCATTATAACGTAACATTAAGAAAATGTCCAAAACTTAGTCGATGACATTCTCAGTGGAAGAGGTAATCAGTATGAAATAGGACAGTCAAATAATTTGAAATTTTTGATATTTAAAAAAAAAAAAAAAGAATTTAGTCTATTTATTAATGCATTTATTTTAGATTTAATAGAACAGAACATACTCTTAGGAAGACGATGTTATTTTAATGTCTAATGTTTACTCGTCAATATTATCTGCTCTGCAGATGGGAATATTTTACAGCTTAATAGCAAAGGACTATGATTAGGCAGCATCTTTAATTTTATAGTATTTGACATGGATAATAACAGTATTTGAACCATTTTGATATGGTTTTAAAATTTTTTAAATTGTAGACATGGTTGTTACATAGAAAAGCTGTGTAAAGAATCTGAATATAATATCCATGTGAAATGTTCAGATCTTGACTGATGGAAAATAACACCATCTACTCTTAGACAGTAGGGTCTGTTATCTGTATTCATGAAGAAACACTTCCACTTTGGCCTGGCATACTTCAGGTGCTGAGTTTCACCAGGGATGGCAACAGTAACATTTGGAAAGGCAACAGGTGGAGAAACATGGGTAGGCACTAGACCTGGGAACTAGGACTTTATGTCTTTGAACTCTGTTTCAGAAAAGATGCTTGGACATCAGTGGTCTAATGTTCCAATGCAGGGGGCAGAAGACAGGTCTAAAAAGTCAATTCGGATCTAACCAAAAGGGGCAGCTGTTAGTCTGAATTCAGGACAGTTAATGGGCTCTGCCCTAGTCTGGTGGATTGGAAATGATTCTGTCTACACCAAGAGACCTTTCCTGATTTTCAACAGACTAACTTCATTCCTGAATGCTCCAACTTTAACTCTGAATCACTGACTTATGTACAATCAAAATTAAATCAGAGACTGCTTTGCAAAACACTTTTATTAGTATTTTTATCCCTGAGACAGTTGAGAGCATGTGGAGTCCTTACCATCAGCACTTTATCCATATAGAATTCTCTGCCAGGGCTCCCATCGTTGTATTTTGTATCAATGGCAAAACACAAGAACAGCACATCCACTACCATTTCGTAAATGGACAGGAAGCAGTGAGCGACTAGGAAAGCAAAGAGGCAGACGATGACCAGAGGCAGCACCCACACCGTGTAATCCTGCCGGTAGTTCAGCAGCATGATCCCGGCCAAACCTGTGCTGCAGACTATGAGCACCTGCGGCAGAGAGAACAAAGGCCACCGTGAACCGGCTGCTCTGGAAGGCCGCTGTCCCCTCCTAGTGTACACACGTAACATGCTCCGGACCATTTTAACAGTGATGGTTGCTTAAGGCCGTGACAGCTCAAATAAGGAAGTACAATTGGTAGAAACACATATATACCCAGATTCACAGTCAGACATGTGTATCATAATACAAATAAAAAATTACACTTTACGATGTTGTTTTACATTACATATAATCATTATGATGTTCCCTAAAACGTCAACTTCTTCTGTGGCAATTTTTAAGGTAAATATATGATATTTATGTATTTAAAAAATTACACACTCTTAGCTTTCAGAGGAAAATTATTGACATTTCAGGTTACTTTTACGGATGTTTCCTTAACATTTTTTACATATATACAACAGCATTACATAAACAAATCATTAAAAGCTCTTCATTAATATTTACAGTATCATTATAAATGCTTCATAAATATTCAGCTACATAATCTCATTTTGTGGGTGATTTATAATTTATTTAACCATTCATTCTCCTACTAATAGAGATTTATACTATTTTAGGATATAAATAATATGGCAGCAAACATCTCTATTTTTAAATCTCTTTCTGTTTCATGTTATTTCACATAGATAAGTAGAAAATTTAGTATGATTTGCTATGAAGTTTAGATCTGAACTATGGGTGAATAAAAGAGGTTGCCCAAAAATCCATGCTATGAAAATAAAAGGAAGCAGTCACTCTGCTTATTTTCAGGAACCCCTACATTGATGCTTTACCATCTCATACGCAACACTTGAAATTGTTGGTGGTATATTTTATTTCAACCTTTCAATAACCCCACGAATGGTGTATGGCAAATATTATTATTGCAATCTAATACTCTGGGAAAATGTTCAGAGATCTAGCACACTTGCCAAAGGTCACAGAGTAAATAAACTGCAGATACCACTCAGATAATGGTCTTAGGATGCCAATTCCAGAGCTCTTTCCAGGCAAAAACTCAGCAAATACTTGGAAACTGATACAGAGCCGTGATGGGTTATGTTGAATTGCAGACATATTCTTGCTCAGCCCATTAGTAGGCCTACCTCTGACTTTAAGTAACAAAGGCAGAGTCATCTAGAACTACAGCCTTCCCTTGTTCAGTGCTGAGCACAGGCCGACTGAGAACCCTTCTCTTTCCCCACTGTTTATCAGTACTGACACAGCTTTCATTCACCATTATCTTAAGCTGAAGCTATAATGCAATGGATGATAAGCTGGGTGAGCTATAAATTGATGTCTTTCATAGATGATTTTAGGGGCAAATCTGGGTCTGCTCAAGCTTTGTAAGACCCCTTTATATTTGCAGCAACATTTAAGAACCTTCTTTTTCAGTGGCTTATTTTCTGGGGCGACACACAAAAGGCGATTTGCATCCATTTTCTTTGCCTCTGATGACTGCAATTTTAAAATGAGTTATTTCTTATCTGCTTCAAATCCCAGAGATCCACCCTATCAGAGGACTGTATCACTCTACGTTGAACTATATTTGAAATATCAAAGTCAGTGATGCCCAGAAGGCGTGGCTCAAACAAACTTGATGCTGAGACAAACCAGGCACTGAGATAAAAAGATACTGCAATGGTGGGCTGGAAATTATGCCATGTGAAAATCAGTGATGGAGACCAAAAAAGTCAAACCAACGTAAGAATGCTCCGACACAGAATGAAAGGCTGGTGGTATGAATTCATTCAAGCAGAGGACGCATGGGACTTTCTCAAACTTTTAGAAGCGAGGGGTCACCTGGGGAGTTTGCTGACAGTGTGGATTCCTGGCCCTACCCCCACACAGACTGACTGGCTGCATCTGGGGTGAAGCCCAACTATCTACATTTTAAAACTATCGCAGGTGATTGTGATAAACTCGACAGTTGCCATCTCAAGAAACCCTGCCTGGTCTCTATTGGTAGTCTCCATGGTAAGATACCCATCCCCTGGAGAGCATTCAAGAGGATAACCCAAGGATAAACCATCTCTATGTATCTGTATAATACACGTAAAATTTCTTTCTTAGTATGCTTTATTATGCATATTAGTAAAAATGTACATATACCATTAATAGATAAATATACAGGCATGCCTAGGATATATTGTGGGTTCACTTCCAAACCACTACAATAAAGTGAATATTGCAATAAAGTGAGTCACATGAATTTTTTGGTTTCCCAGTGCATATAAAACTCATGTCTAGACTGTAGTCTATTAAGTATGCAATAGCATTATGAAAAAGTTTGAAATACTGTGAGAATTACCAAAATGTAACACAGAGACATGAAGTGACCACATGCTGTTGGACAAATGGTGCTGACAGACTTTCTGGATGCAGGCTGCCACAAACCCTTAATTTTGTTTAAAAAAAAAAAAAAAAATGCATTATCTGTTAAGCACAGATAAACAAGATCTGCCTGTATCGGGGATGCATGCTCAAAATTTTTCCCCTAATGGGATACGTGATTTTAAAAGTTTAGAGGCTACTGGACTGGATGGTATTTTATTTGGGATTCACACATAGGGTCGAATAGAAAACAGGGAAAGGAGCGCATGCTAGCTTTGGAATCAAAGTGATGTAGATTCGAATCACACGTTAGGACTGCTTGGTCTTGTGACTCTAATCAAGTTATATGAACCCTTTCTGAGGCATTTTCCTCATCTTTAAGAGAGACAAAATAAAACATCCAAAAAAGCCAGACCACTGCCATCAAGTCAATTCTGACCCACAGCTACCTCCAGGATGGAGTGGAACTGCCCCACAGGGTTTCCAAGGCTGTAAATCTTCACAGAAGCAGACTGCCTCATCTTTCTTACATGGAGCAGCTGGTGGGTTCCAACCACTGACCTTATGGTTAGTAACCAAATGATTTAACCACTATGCCACCAGAGCACCTTTAAAAATACATAACTAGGGAGTTACAATAATAATTCTGAAAGCATTTACCATCGTGCCTGACAATGTTAGGTCTTTTCTAATTTTTTTTTTTTTTTTTTTTTGCCATCATGAACCCTGCATTTATGATGTTTGTTTTGGTTACCTCTAATGCTGCTCTAACGGAAAATACCACAAATGGGTGGCTTTAACAAACAGGGATTTATTCTCTTACAGTTGGGGAGGCTAGAAGTCCGAGTTCAAAGTGCCAGCTCCAGGGGCTGGGTGAAGGCCCCTCAACCTTGGGATTCAGTCCTGCCTCCTGCTCCTGGACCACTGAAGCTGGAGACGTCTCTTCACCTAGGCTGGCTGCTGAGGCTGGTGTTTGCCAAAGTCAACAAGTAAAATGGCACAGTCCTGAGATTACCAAACGTGGCAGGCCACTAATTCAAGTCTATCAATAGTCCCAAGATCACTAGGGCCAGCATGGCAAGCTGCCGAATGAGCACTTTGCTACATGCAGGGTCCGAGCAGGCCAAAAAGCTGCAAACACCTTTCTCGATGCTTCTTCTCATATACTGGAAGCGTACCACATGCCTAAGGCAGCTATTCAGCTGTTCCAGTAGATTCCACCACAGAGCTCATTACCAGTGTCATCATGGGGACTCACTACATCCAGCTGCCCAGCCAAGCTGACACATAAATTAACTACTACAATGTCCTTCCCTCCAACCAAATCAATGTTTTAAACAGATTTATCAATACAGGCCTCTGGTGGCACAATGGTTAAGCACTAGGCTGCTACATGAAACGCTGGCAGTTTCAACCCGCCTAGCAACTCTGTGGGAGAGAAACGTGGCAATCTGCTTCCACAAAGACCGTTGCCAAGAAAACCCTATGCGGAAGTTTACTGCTACGTGGAGTGGGTCATGTGTTGGAATCGACTCAATGGCATACAATAGCATCAATGAAATAGCATCTATAAGCAATAACTCATCTTCTCATATTGTATTAATCAAAGCCAAATGAACTGTCAACCAGAACATATAATCAGTGTGAGAAAAAGTAGTATCAAATAGCAGTCAAATAACTTCACATAGAAGCTAAAAAACCGAGAATCTTGTTTTTTGTATAGCTTTATGGGGGCAAATACAAAATTTTCATTAGATTTTAAATTTGAAACATTGTTTATAAATCTTTTTTCTTACATCTGAGGCCACTATAGGGCAGTGGAAGGAGCTCTGGTGGTGTAGTGCTTAAGGCATTTGGCTGCTATCCAAAAGGTGAGTGGTTTGAACCTACCAGCTCCTCTGTGGAAGAAAGATGACACAGTCTGCTTCCTCAAATATTTATAGCCTTGGAAACCCAGTGCAAGTCCTATGAAGTGGAATCCACTCTATGGCAATGAGTTTAGCTTTTTGGTTACAGGCCAGTGGTAGCGAAGATCCCTTCTACATCCAAACTACCAACTAAAAACTGTGGGGCTCCACCAATGAAATAGTGTTTTCATTTTAAATGGAAGGTTTCTTTAATTAAATTTTAAATTTTGAGGCAACTATACATTTGCATGCAGTTATACAAAGTAATACAGAGAGGGCTCATGCACTTTTATCCAGTTTGTCCCAATCATAGTATCTTACAAAATATCGACAGTTGTCAATATCCTGAGTATGATATTGTGCTATAGTTTGCTTTACATAGATTTACAGATTTTAGGCAAATTATGATATTGTAGTACAGTCACAATATAGAACATTTCCATCACTACAAGGGCCCCTCGTTGACCTTTGATTGCCACCCTCACCTATGCCACCTCCATTCCTCACCCTTGGTGACCACTAATCCACTTGCATAATTTTGTCATTGCAAGCATCTAACATAAATGAAATCATAAAGTATGGAATTTTCTAGGACTCACTTTTTTTTTATTCAGCATAATTCCCTCAAAACTCATCCAAGTTGATGTGTGAATTAGCAGCTGTTCCTTTAATTACTCTTTCTATATATGCTTTTATTGTATGTTGCTTCACATCGTTCTTAAGGAGCTCCGCTAAATAAAAGGTTGACAGTTTGAACCCTCCAACCATTCTGTGGAAGAAAGATGAGGCAGTCCGCTTCTAGAAAGATTACAGCCTTGAAAACTCTATGCATTCGTTCTACTCTGTCCTATAGGGGTCCCTGTGAGTCAGAATCGACTCAGTGACCAGAGGGTTTGAGTTTGTGTGTACCTTTCTTAGTGGTAACCACAAAACCAAACCTGTTGCCTTCAAGTTGATTCTAACTCACAGAGACCCTATACCAGAAAGTGAACTACCCCATAGGGTTTCCAAGGCTGTACATCTTCATGGAAGCAGACTGCCTCATCTGTCTCCCATGGAGTGGCTGGTGGGTCCCAACTGCCGATCTTTCAGTGAGCAGCCAAGCACTTAACCACTGTGCCACCAGGGCTCTTTTTCTTAGCAGCAGAGATAAAAAGCTGAATCCTTTCCTGAATCAGCCATTCTGCTAATATATATAATAACAACAAGTAATAACAGCACCAAACACGGTCCTCAGCCTTTTGCAGATTAACTCATTCAATCCTCGCTATAAAAAATCTTCCTCTTATGCAAAAAAAATGACAGGAACTAATACAATAATTATAGCATAAGCTCAACTACAAATTTTGAAAATACCTTTATCTCCACAGTTTGATTCTTAATTCTTTTAGGATGACATTGCCTAAGAACCTTTTCACTTCAAATCACTCGGTGCTATCACGCCTCTTTTTTCCTTCCCCAAAACACTGTAAAACCATAGTGGTTAGAGCAATCTGGTGCTCCATAGTGAGGGAAGGTTTGAATACAGCATTAGCTGGACCATCACGATAATGACTACTATGATGATTATCAAAGCAATACCGAAAACGTGTACGATACAGTGCAAAGGGTAGGACAAGCAGGTGTCATACACTGTGGTGGTGAAGTCCGTGTGTCAACTTGGCTGGGCCTGGTTGAGTGGCTGGGCAGCTGGTGGCAGTTATTTCCCACGATGAGACAGGCAATCAACTCCATTGTGCGATCTACCACAAGCAGCTGAGTAGCTGCTTTAGGGATGTGGTCTGCTTCCCGTATATAAGCAGCAGCTTGGGAATGGTCTCTAGCTTATGGCACGCTTGGACCCTGTATGTAGCCTGCCATGCTCTGTTGACCTTGGACTTTCAATGAACTTGAGCCTGCTGCGTGGTTTGGTAACATTGCGACTATGCCTTTTTACTTATCAACCTTGGGCTTGTTAGTCTCAGCAGCCAGCAGCTGTCTGAGTGAAGAAAAGCCTCCAGCTTCAGTGGGCTGGGAGCAGGAGGCAGAGCTGAAGCCCAAGGTTGAGGGGCTTTCACCCAGCACCTACAGCCTGGCACTTTAAACTCGGACTGAAAGCCTCCAAATTGTAAGAATAAACTCCTGTTTGTGAAGGCCGTCCCATTTGTGGTATATATTCCTGTCAGAGTGGCACTAGGGAACCAGAACATACACCATGCCTGATGCAGAAATATAAGCAATACATAAAATAATAAGAGACTGGAGGTTATGTTGTTGTTAAGTGCCGTCAAGTCGTTTCTGACTCATAGTGACCCCATGCACAGCAGAACGAAACAGGTTTTAGAGGCAGAATTGTCAGTCTTTCCTCAATTTTTAAACTTTTGAGTATTTTATGATTTAAAATACAGATACAGAGCCTGGTGTAACCACTGAGACAATGGCCCCTAGCTGCCCTTTAGGTCTGGAATTGAATCCACAACTGTGGTTTCCAGCCAAACAAAGTACAGGCATGTGAGTTAAACATTTACCTCAAGTAGACACACGCCCTGGAGAGAACAATCATGGGAGAAGGAAGGGCTGCTTATGCACAGGGAGATAGCTCAGGGTGCAGAAGAGTATGAAGGGATGGACACTGGGAGGAGGTAACTATGGGGAGGAAGTGGGAGGGGAGCTGCTGCATTGTAAATTTTGGTCAATGACATGAGACAAAGTATATGTGAAATGCTGTATAAAAAGTGAATTTACTCTGTAAATCTTCACCCAAATCCTAATAAAAAAATAAATAAATAATACAGATACAGTGAAATTCAATTATAATGCTATTCAAACAGGAAAGGGGGGATAAAATCACCTCTATTTTCAATATCCGAAGATACTGTCTATTAACATCTTCAGGGTTCACTGTGGATTTTGATACTGTATAATAGTTCTCTAAGACAGTTCCAAGGAAGGTATTAGTCTCACTGGCACTGTTGTTACTCCAGCTTTACAGGGGAGTAAACTGAGGCACAGACTGGCTATGCAACCAGTCCCATAGTTGTTGTTGTTGTCATCAGGTGCCACTGAGGCAGCACCAACTCCCGGCGACCCTGTGGACAACAGAGCGGAGCACTGCCCAGCCCTGTGCCAGCCTCCCAGCCCTGCTCTACACGAGTCCACTGCTCAGCCACTGCGGCCATCCACCTCCTTGAGGGCTTCCCCTTTTTCACTGACCCTCCACTGTACCAACCACGATGTCCTTCTCCAAGGAATGGTCCCTTCTGACAACATGACCAAAGCAGGTGAGACGAAGTCTGGCCATTTTTACTTCCAAGGAGCATTTCAGTTGCACTTCTGGGACAGATTTGTCCGTTCTTCTGGCAGACCGTGGGACTTTCAGTATTCTTAACCAACATCACAACTCAAAGGCATCAACTCTTCTTAGGTCTTCCTTATTCACTGTCGAGCTTTCACATGTATATGAGATGACTAAAAATACCATGGCTTGGGTTAGGCGCACCTTAGTCTTCAAAGTGACAACTTTGCTCTTCAACACTTTAAAGAGGTCTTTTGCAGCAGATTTACCCAGTGCAATAGATACAACGTCTGATTTCTTGACTGCTGCTTACATGGGTGTTGATTATGGAACCAAGTTAATATGAAATCTTTGACAACTCCAAAAGCCACACAGCTAGTAATTCATAAAGCCAGGATTTAACCCAGGCAGTCTGGCTCCCAATGCGATAACCCAGAACACTACACAGACTTTTGCTTAAGTATTTACAGTTCAAAATATATAAGGAGAAACATGAAAAGGAGCTGTTATCACCTTGGGCAAGCTACTTAACTTCTGTGCTTCAGTTCTCCCATTTGTAAAATAAGGATAATCGTAGAAGTGACAAGTTGATTGTGAGGATTCAATGAACACAATGCATGTTAGTATGAAGAACAGTGACTGCAGTGCATTAAGGGCTTGCTGTATATTGTTACTTTTAGTTTATTCGTTGGTATAGATGTTTCAAAATTAAGGAACAAACATGCACCTATGCATAGATGGAAAAAAAATTAATTTATGTCTTAGACAATGTGCTTGGCCTTACCTTGCCTAAAAATAGCATAAAATCTCCCACTGTGTTGATGGCAGCCACTCGCAAAGCATTCTCCACCAAAATGACAAAGGCATCCTTTGCTGAGGTGCAGAAGTTGGTGCTGTTGATAGCTGTGGCTGTGTATGCGTTCTGGACCAAAGTAAAAACAATTATTTTCATCAGGCAACTATCATACTGGGTCAAGATACAAATCAAGCACAGTTCTTAAAAGCGTTTCACAGTTAAGCTGATGGCTCTGATGAGATACAAATTGAGACTGCGCACAGGGAAATATGAGACATCAAAAGAGAAACGGAAGAGAGAAGAAAGCAGCTGGTGGAGCAGAAGGGGCCCCCAGTCAGCTTAGTGTTGGGCCTCTGAAGTCACTGAGACTCCCACAAACTCACACCGACCTTCCTAACATCCACTCACTTCTCCCCTGTCTTCGTAATTCAAACATAATGTGACCTTTCCTAGATGCTTTAGAAGGAACTCTGGTGGTGCAGTGGTTAAAGAGCTAGGCAGCTAACCGAAAGGTCAGCAGTTCAAACTCACTAGGGGCTCTGTGGAAGAAAGATGAGGCAGTCTGCTGTCGTAAAGATTTATAGCCTCAGAAATCCCAAGGGGCAATTCTGCTCTGTGCTAAAGAGTTGATACGTTGTCAGAATCAACTTGACAGCAGTGGGGTTTTTACATGCCTTAAGGAGCCCTGATGGCACAGTGGTTAAGCACTTGGCTGCTAACCAAAAAGTCAGTGGTTCAAACCCACCAGACTCTCTGCAGGAGACAGATGCAGCAGTCTGCATCCATGAAGATTTATAGCCTTGGAAACCCTATGGGGCAGTTCTACCCTGTCCTGTAGGGTCACTGTGAGTCAGAATTTGACCTGAAGGCAATGAGTTTGGTCTCGGGGTTTAGACGTCTTAAGGTCATCACTATGAACATCTGTGATGCATTGTAACCAATTCAGTGATGCTTTAAAAGCTGCAGAGGTATGTAAGGGCTGTCTGCTCTTACAACCAATGGCATCAGATTGTTGTGCTGTTTTATCTGCAACCTACAGTCTCCTCCCTGGTGGCTTTCTCTTATGCTGTCACTTCTCATAATTCCTGTAGTACACAGCTGTTTGCTGCCCAGTATTTATATGCAGAACCCCATTATCTTCTGGCTCCTCTTGAAAACTGGAAGAGCTAGAAACCATCCATAAATGCTCATATGGCAACAGTCTACCAGAGCGAAACAGTGTCTGCCCTCTGTAGGCGAAGCATGGGCTCTCCAGTTTATCACAGTCCCCACCACTCCCTATTGCCTTCGATCCTGCCTGCTTCGCTTATTTGCATTACCTCAACTGGCCCTGTAGGTGTTTGAGTTCAGTAGCCCTGCTCAAGACTTCGACTTCAGGTTTCATGCTGATCTCAGTAGAGACCGAAAAAAAAAAGGACAGGAAAATAATCCAAAATGATAAGAACTCATTGTTAACCACCCTCCAAAGAGTACTAGACAAAACGGGACTTTAAATAAGAGCTACTGTACGTAAAATGTGAGGGAAAATGCCTGGCACATGGTGTTAAATGAATGTTAGCTTCCATTATAATTACTGGTGGCACTGTGGTTAAAGCACTGGGCTGTTAATGAAAGGCTGGCAGTTCAAACCCACCAGTTGCTCTGCAGGAGAGAGATGAAGCAGTCTGCTTCCATAAAGATTTACTGCCTTAGAAACCCTATGGGCAGTTCTACTCTGTCCTATAGGTTTGCTATGAGTTGAAACTGACTCAATGGCAGTGGGTTTGGTTTTGGGGGGCCCTTTTAAAGCAGTATTCTTTTTTTCTCTATATAGAATAATCTAAACATGGCAGAATAAACAGGTGATATAGACAAGTAGTCTTTTAAAAATTAAGAGACAGATGCATCCTAAGATATTTGAGATATATTAAACAAAACTATAATAGTATTGCAGTATTGGTATAAGAATGGACAGATCAATGGTCCAGAACAGAAAATCCTGAAATTCAAGTATGATATACAAGAATTGAATACATGATGAAGTTGGCATTTCACAACAGAAGGAAGGATGGAAATTCACTAACTGGTCCTGGGAAAAATGAGTAAATTCCAGAAAAATGAAAGAGTTAAGTATTTAAAAACTTAAACCTCTAAAGGACTGCAAGAAAACAAAGTAATTATTTGATCTTGAAGATTATTCTAACCATAAAAGCCAAGAATGAAACCTTCAAAAAAAAGATTAAATGACCTGATGATAAAAAGTTAAACTGTGGGCATTACACTACAGAATAAGGGCCATCAGGCACTAAGGATTTGCTGTGCCCCAAACACATGCTCAGAGCCCTGGCAGCATACTCTCTCTTCAGCTCCACGGCTGTTTAAGACAGATTCTATTATTAGCTCCACTTTACAGGTGGGCTTTATAGATTGTTAAGACTTTTCCACATTGAAATGAGATATTACAAACAATTTTATTCAATGCCAATCGTGGTTATTTCAATGCCAGTACTTGTTTTATGATGGTAAAATTATAAGCGATGTTTGAGTATTCCTTGATTTTCTAAACTCTTCTTTAATAGTTTATAAAATACTGATTTAAAGGAAAAAGAGATATCTTTAGAATTGCTTTTTAGATTATTTTTGCCACAACTCTCTTATCATAGCATAAAAAATTGTAAGTTTTCTTAATTTAAAACAAAACAAAACTAGAAGTGGACAAGGGAGAGTAATAACACTTATTGGTACCTACCAAGAACCACACACCGTAAGAGGTGATTTATCTATATTATGTCTCCTCCTTAACCAAAGCCTATGAGGATCAGTCTATTGTTTTCCACCCACTGAGGAAAGGAGCGGAGGTTCAGAGGTTTCACCATAATTGCCTAAGAGTTACACTGGTGGACTGAAGCATGGGCTCTCTGCACTGCACATCCCCTCAATTATCCACTGCACTTTCTCCAGCAAGACTAAAAGTGTATGCTCAAGCTCATGTGATTGGAAGAAGGGAACTTCCTTTTAAGAAAGCAATGATTAAAAATGGAGACAAATGAAAGGTGTGAGCAGACTCTTATTATCTTTGTGCCAGCGATGGCTTAATCTCTGGCATAGCAGTAAGCTCAGAACTGATGGACGCGTGATAGCACTGATGCTCTTACACCAGGAGGTCACACTCTTATACCTGCTGCTCCTTGGAGTTCCAGTAAAAAGGCTCCAGAGGTTGTCTATTTAATATTGCCATGATCCCATCATCCTGAATGCTTCAAACACATGAGTACCCACACAGCTCTGAAATGCCTCACAGAACAGAGGTTTAAAAAGTTCTACTGGCAACCAAACCTATTGCTCAACCTCTCATGACAGGAAGTTTCCTAATATCTTCACTATGGTGCTCTTATTTCAAATCCATCCATTCCATACAGGCACAGAAGACATGAAACACTACTGGTGATCAGTCCCCACACTGCAACACTGCAAAGTCCCCGACAGAACCACTAAGCGTGAGTTCAGTCCTGGCTAAGGAATCACTTTCCCCAAACCTCTTCCACACATTCATTACTAGGAGTAAATTTTAACACTTTCCTTAAGTCCTCAAATCTCATGCCTTCATCTTCTGAACTGAGTAAAGGGACAAAAGCTATTTAAGGAAGATCAGCTGGGATATGTATCTGAGGATGGTCAGTTCCAAACTGCTGATTAATATTTAGGTTGGGGTTGCTGAAAATCTTGAATTTCTCAACTGATCACTGACCATCTTAACATCACGTAGCTTGTTTTCTTCTGGATATAACTGAACATCTCCTTTTCTCAGGTTCTTACATACAGTTTTCTATCACCCTGCCAGTCAAAATTTGGTTTTGAAATCCAAGTATCTACTGACTAACTAACAAATCCCACCAGCCACTCCTTGGAAGGAAGGTTGGGCAATCCTACTTCCGTAGTGATACTGCCTCGGAAACCCAAGGACGGGTCGCTATGAGTCGGGGCCAACTCGACGGCACATAACAACAACAACAACAACTAACAAATAATTTTGGAAACACCGTACGGCTACCTATTGGGGGGATCTGGTGGCATAGTGCCTAAGGCATTTGACTGCTAACCAGAAGGCTGGTGGTTCAAACCTACCAGCTACTCCTCGGAAGGAAGGTTGAGCAATCTACTTCCATAGTGATACAACCCTGGAAACCCAAGGAGGGGTCACTATGAGTAGGATCTGATTTGAAGGTAGTGAGTTTGGTTTGATTTTATTGTGTATCAAAGGAGCTCTAGTGGCATAGTGGATAAGGCATTTGGCTGCTAACCAGAAGGTTAGTGGTTCAAACTCACTAGCCACTCTGTGGAAGGAAGATTGGGCAATGTATTTCCATTAAGAGTTACAGTCTTGGAAACCCAATAGGAGTTGTTCTGAGTCAGAATCGACTCGACAGCAGTGAGATTGGTTTTGGTTTATTGTGTACTAGGCAGGTACTTTGCTAGTTTCTGGAGCAACAAAGAAAACTAGGATAAGATGCTAAGGAGCTGAAAGTTTAAAGGTGAAGACAGACACGGAAATAGACAACTTCAATACAGTGTGTTTATTGTTTCCACAGAGGTAGGAAGTGGTCTTGTGGAAGCTCAAAGGAGGGGCTGGGATGATGTGGGAAGACTTCTTAGAGGAGGTGATGCTCAGGGAGAATCACTAAGGCTAGTAGGAGCTAGTCAGGCACTGGAAGGAAGCTATTCCAGGCACATGTAGGAAACTGTAAAAGGCACCTGTGGGAAGGTGGTAGGGAATGAGACTAGAAGAAAGCCGGGTTTATCTCTCTGAGGACGAGCAATTTAGTGACAGGTGCAACATGGAATGATGGTGGCCTTGAGTACATCCACCACCATTCGATAAAGATGACTTGGTACCAAGCTCAATTTTAAAGGACATACTTTTTTCTGGTCATCATACCCACTATTATTTTAAGAATGCCCTTTCAAACACTTGTACATCCATAGAGACTACTATGATCTAACAAGAATGTACCATTTTAATGAAATGTCATAGCTACTTTCTCGTATTGACCAGGGAACCTCAATAATGCCAACTGCAGTTCGATTCTCTGCCCACAGGACAACGATCATTCTTTGACTATCATGGGGGGAATGGAAAATGGAACTCCATAGTCAAGACAGAAGTGGTTAGAAAATCAAGTTTTATCTTTGGTCTACTCAATAAGAGCATCAATACATTAGACTTGATTTTCAGGGAATATAGTTAAGTAGTAAAAAGAAAGTGAAGATGGAAGAACACTCCATAGCAAGACCTACATGGAAAGGCAGAGGACTGACCCAGCCCACTAAGAACCCTGACATCAGTTAAGTATCACTCCTTCCACTCGACCTCAGAAAGTGTTTCCTTCAATAACAGTTCCCAAATATCACAACACTAGCCATTGAACAAACAAGAAATAATCACCAGAGAAAGTAAACTAGTTTCAAACAATAGTAGAAAGTTACAAAAAAGGTGTACATGTCACAACAGCTTTTAACTAAACTGAAGCTTTCAAACCACATTTAAAAGAACTAAAAAATGACGACCAGAGCAGCCAAGTTCTAAGGAAAATCAAAGATGAAACGATATGAATTAAAGAGTAAAGAATAAATGTCTTTCCTAGAAGATGAACTCTAATGATTTTCACTCATGTATTAAAAATTAAGATTAGCACAAAAATGAGCCTTGATAAGAATATATGTTAATTAAAAAAAATAAGAATTTGATTGAAATATATAGATTTTGTCAAGACACAATATATAACTTCACAAGAAAAACATAACTTTCTTTTAATTAAGCTCAGTTATTTTATACTGAGGGAAGAATCAATGAACCGATCTTTCAAAGTGAACGGTAGAATATTTTTTAAATATTTTACCTGATTTAAATAATTTAGGCACTTTTCAAGACACCAAAGGCAACAAATGCAAGACTTCAGCATACATCGTGCACAGGCGTTCTCCTAGGAAGGGGAAAAGAGGAATAATTAAAAGAACAAAGAGTCAAACAGTCATACAGGTCTTCAAACGTGAAAATTAAATAAATAAAAATTTAAAAAATCACAACCTATACTTCAAAGCAGCCACCCCATCCTTTTTCTAGTCAAAACCTAATGGCTTAATTATTTTTATTAGTTCAACTCAACATTTAATTAGCACCTACTACAAATATGATACAGTGAGGTACGCAAGACCAGCAAGGAGTTCATGGTCTAGTCGGAGAAATAAAATGCTAAACATAAAAAAATGTTAGAATCACAATGTGATAAGGACACGCAGTGCTAGAAGAGCAGAGAATTAAAAGAGACAACATTCTTTGGGAGGAATCAGGAGAGGTTCCCAGAAAGAGATGTCATTTGAGCTAAACCATGTTGAATGCATGTTATTTACATAGTCAAAGACAGAAAAGGGGTTCTTAAGAGGACCAGGTGTGAGTCAACACAGAGAAAGAAGAGCAGGGGACACTCTTAGTAACCAGTGATTAGACGGATTTTGCCTGAGCTTAGGGTACGCTGAGTGGGAGACATGTGGGAAGGCATGGATTCTGATTTGCAAAGACTTGGAATAAAGCATGGACACCTGTGGACTTGACATGGTTGGATGCTTTAGTACATGCAGGACCCAGATCGGGAAGGTGCCCACAGAGAACCGGAGAGAAGCATTTTCGCCTTACCTTTCCTTTGAGCTGACTGTGAATGTACATAAGGATCATTCGTGGAATTTTGACTAACGTGATAATGAATGATCCTTTTGCCACAGTACCAAGGTGATAACGAATAAGGCGATTCACCGATGCCAAAATGGGTGTGAACGGCAAATTCCTTTTATCCCTATTTTCAAAACGACCAAAAAGATAATTAAAACAAGCACTAGGTGAAGGTGGAAACATAATAATGGTTTAGAGTTCAAATCAGTGAAGGTTAGTTCTCTTATTGTAGCTTTATGACAAAATTACAAAGTAATGACACAACTAATACAAATACTACAGGTGTCTCATATAAAATCAGTATTTCATTTCTCTAAAATAGTTTCATGGGGTTCCTATACTCTAATAATTAAAGTTAAATAAGCTTTGAAAGCTCTTGCTACTGAATACTAATGTTGTTAACTGTACAATCAGAACATGAATTTTAAAAGATGTTCTAGCTAGACCTAGCATCTCATTAATAAGAAACTATGACATGTACAGCATTAATGCTCAGTTCTGAAGTTAACAAAAGGGACTCTCAACCCTTGCTCTGCTCCAAACAAATTTAAAAGGTTGGTATTTTTGTTGAACTTTTGTATAAAGTAGAAGTAAAAATACCATATAATGCACTACCCTGACTGTACTACTCATTCCTCTGCTAAATGTAGTTTTGTTACATCATGACCTGCTGTTCTGATCTTTTTTTTTTTTTTGAGAAAGTAACAGAAAAGTATAAAGAATGAAAACATCACCCTCCCATTTTCCCACCTCCCAGAGTTACCAACATTTGGTTACAATCACTGTAAGAAATGAAACTCTACCAGCCTTCATCCCACTCCTCCTCCAACCTCGACACAATCACTTACATGAATTTGAGTTTTTCTGACATGTATAAATTCTCACCTAGTAAAATAGTACGTCACCACGGCTCCGGCCACAGTCATCTGCTGACAAGCTAGAATGAATTCACTAATCCAGATCAGGCCCACAACATGGTACCACCACATGTACTGCAGAGGCCCAGAAATTTTGAACTCCACAAAGCCTTGCTCATTCTGAACAGGACTGCCTACAAAAATATCAGGGAAGGAAAGAAATACAGATAGTATAAACCAAGAAATATGGCTATCAAATGAAATAAATTATTCTAATTTCTAAGAGTATATGTCTCTCCTTATCTCCCACACTTGATAATCGCCAAAAAAAAAAAAAAAAAAAAAAACTCTTTGCTGTCGAGTTGGATCCCACTCATAGCGACCCCTCCTTGGGTTTCAGAGTCAATATCAGTACGGAAGTAGATTGCCCAATCTTCCTTCTGAGGAGTGGCTGGTGGGTTTGAACCACCAGCCTTCTGGTTAGCAGTCAAGTGCCTTAGGTACTACACCACCAGAGCTCCCCTTGATTATCATAAACCCTAAAATCATAGGTTTCTTTAATTAAGGGGCAAAAATTGCTATTACTTGAGAAAGTTGTGAAACCAAACACTGTACAATAATGGGTCTTGATTTCCTCACAGGCATCACATAAAGCCTTTTACAGTGGTTCTATTTGAATACATCATATTATCACATGTTCAATTTAGGTATGGATTTCAAATACTTCAATTTTTCCCCCAAGTTATACATATGGACCTAAGTTATTAGCAAATTGCAGAAATTAGTATTATATTCAGTTGGTGAATGTGTGTTGAATAAAGTCACATTCCGGTTTACTACCTTTATGCTACTCCTCACAATTAATTCCATTTAGGCCGACCTTTTGCTGTTGAATATGGTTACAAGTGAGTGTGGGAATCTAACCGACCTATTTCATCACTAAGAGCTCGAGGTAGGTTTAAGTAATTTCCCACATAGAAAATCCCAAGGAAAGAACTGAATCTTGGCCTAAACTGGGGTTTCAGGTCACTTCACAGAGGCACTGTAATCATCAGTCGTTTTAGAACAGATCAAATATCCGAGTCAGTAGGAATTTACTTAAAATCCATGACCACCTCAAATACAGGATGGAGTTTTAGGCCATACCTGGTCCAGACCCTCACTGCTAGGATGACCTAAAAATCACAACTAGGGAATAGGTTATAGGAGAGTCACTACCACGGCTAGTTCTGATAGTTACAGAACACTGGTCAACAACCGTCTGAAGAATCATACCTCTCTGACGTTTTAAAATATTTTAATGCAAACTACATTTATCACCAAGAGAATAAAGTAATACATCTTCTTACCGGTAGTGCCAAGAAAAAGAAGTGTCATGATCCAGTATACCCAAAACAGGACAAGAGCAAAGAAAGTCCAGAAGGGTTGGAAGACCAGCAGTGGCAAGTGAATGAAAACCTTGCCAGCCACGTGGAACAAGGCGATGGTGAGGGCCACACGTTTGCGCATAACCAGCATTATCAGGAACAAGACAACCTGCACAGAGAAAACGAGAAGCGTGAGGTGCCAGTGCCTGGTGAGGTGTTGAAAACAGAAGCTAAACAGTGGTGCGCATGTTTAACATCAATCTTTCTGATAAAACCTGGAAGTGTCATTCTCCAAATCTCCGTAATCCTCCACCAGTCTCTATTTCTCCATACTGCTTATCACTTTCAACTGTTTATTATGGCTTTCAATTGTCCTTTAAAATTAAAAACTCAAGGATTCCTCAACATATTACTGTATCCTAGAATTCTTCTATCTTTCACTTCACTCACTATGAATTTATTTGTGATTAATCATCAATAAGGATAAGATTCTTAACTTATTTGAATACATACATGCTTGCTACTCTGAGAAACAGGGGGAGGACCACATGCCATTCATCTCTTCTGTGGACCAAGAGCTCCTTAAAAGTGGGGTCCATGCCAGATTCACCCTCTGGGTCCCTCAAGTACAGGGAATTGTAGTTAGAAAAGTATTAATACCTATACTTTTGGAATAATAACTAACAGATATTATTTGGCATCAATAGTTTTATTATTTGTTTCTGATGCTCAATAAAAAGCTTAGGAGTGTTAAAGATTGTTGAATCAGATGTTAATTAGTAATTTTACTGTGTAATGGTAAGCAGTGAATCTCATCTGTATTTTTGAAAGAATGCACATTGTTAAAATGAAAATTTACAGGAAAAAATTAATGAGCAAGTAAATGGAATATGAAGTGGCCTGTTTCTTAATATACTTTTCTATAGCAAAGAGAATTTTTTTAAAAGTATTTCTGCTACCTTCTAACAGCAAGAAATATGCTTTTATTAGGAAATGATAGTAGGCTGTAAGTGAATATTCTAGGTAAAACTTCTTCTAGAGAGACTTTGCTCTTGAGAAAAAACTCTTTTGCTTTCGGGCAGAGTGGAACAAGGACTGGATCCAACAGCACTCCTCCACTGGAGAGGCCTCCTGAAGACTCACTGCTTCATACCTTGGGGGGCAGAGACTTCATTTCATTCATTTACTTTAGGAATGCAAACGCTAGAAGAGAGCTTCTCCTCCACCACTGAGCTCCTGTTCACGAAAACTCACAGCCAGAAGAAGAGACCCCGTAGGCCGCACTCACCGTGAACACTGTAGCTGCAATGGCGTAGATGAGCAGGGCCCGGAGATTGTCTTCAGCTATCTGAAGCTGTTCAGGAATCACGCTTTCTTTGGGAGATTTTCTTTGTTTTGCATACAACCACCATAGCACACCTGTGCCACCTGGAGACCAAAACACAAATGAATAAATAATTTGGAGGGCATTAATTAACACAAGAAAATGAGTAACATGAACCCTTAATTTTCTGGAGCCTTCCTATATATCCTTGGGGGACTAATGAGTAACAGTTCATTTGGAAGCAGGATGGATGGAAGGGGTATGGCTACAGTTGTCTGGTATTATAAAAACAAAAAAGCCAAACCTACTACCATCAAGTCAATTCTGACTCACAACAACCCTACAGGACAGAGAAGAATTGCCCCGTAGGGTTTCCAAGGCTGTAAAGCTTTACAGAAGCAGACCGATGCATCTTTTTCTGTAGAGTGGCTGGAGGATTTGAATGGCTAGTCTTTTAGTTAGCAGTCGAATGTCTTAATCACTGTACCACTTAGCCAGCATGAGGGGAACTCCATTACCCTAGTATTATCTTCCTTTTTAGACACTTAACAAATCCTTCTGTGTATTTCGTAAACTTCCTCAGCTTTAACTTATCCATTATGGAGTCTGAAACTGAAAGAGACCAGCAAAAATAGACACCATTCCCAGAACTTGGAAAGGAACTGATCAGAAAGAGAGACTAAGCATCTGTTCAAACTGGGGTGGCTGTGGGAAGCAACTAAGGGTCACAGAATCAGTAATGACACTCAAGGAGGGGAATCTTCCCTGTTGTACTCATCACAGTACCCTAGTGCCTAGTGCTTACAGAGTCAAGCAACTGATTAAATGTTTGTTAAGTGAAGAAATGAAGACCAAAAGAGGAGCTCTCACCAAAGGCAGGAGCCAAGGTAGAAATATTTTTAGAGCAATGGGCATTAGGGATGACAGTTTTATCTCCAACACTGGCTCAGAGATTCAGAGAACTGAAGAGAAAAGCAAACCTACCTCCGTAGGAGAGAGCTGCATTAGACACATTCATTCAATCCATTCTGCAAACATCTGACTCACTACAGCACCTACCGTTCTAGTTGCTGGTGATACAGCAGCAAGCAAAACAAAGTCCCACCTTGACAGAGTTGATATAGTAATAAGGAAACAAAAAATAAGGAACAAGTAAATACACAGAATATTAAATCTAAGAAAAAGTTGCCTGGTAAGAGGAATAGGAGGTTCTGGGGTTGCGAAAGGGTTGCAATTTTATATAAGATGGGTAAGCAAAGGCTCACTGTTAAGATTCTGTGTGAGGAAGCGACTTGAAGACATGACAGAAAAAAGTTGGCCATTGTAGCTACAGCAATAATCAAGGGGAAAAGTGGCAGGGAATGCGAGCTGAGAGGTAGCTGGGGACAAGATCACACTGCAGGGCCCTGAAGGTCTCTCCTCCATGGGAAAGAAATGGAGGATTCAGAGGACAGCTGTGTGTGTAGGTGGACAAGAGGAATGCCTGGCAGATAACATACCAGGCTAAGATCTTTACATCAAGCTGCCCTTTATCTGCACTCAAGGACACAGTGAATGGAGTCAAAGGGAAATTCCATACCTTCTCTGTTAGCAAAAACTGAATATGAATTTTTCTTCTGTTGAAGATAAGTAAACAAAATAACCAGGAGTCTCTGAAAAATATTTCAGAGGCGGAAATACTTCCAGTTTAGAATCTTGCGAGAAAACTGTTTATAAAAAGCCTTAATAATCTCAAAAAGAAAAAAAAGAAGAAAAAGAAGAAGGAAAAAAAACAGACAGGAATAAAAAGTTATTAGAGAAAAATCCAAGGAGATTTAATGATGACATCAAGGAGGGTGTTATTCGTAACCGCCATGGTAAACATTATTCATTAAGCATTTAAATTCGTGCCAGTTAACTGCACTGATATATGTGACCTAATCTAACCTCCCCAATACCATCAAGTGGGTATTATTAGCTCCACTTTATAAATGATAAAACTGAAATTTAGGAAGATGTAACATGCCAAACGTCACATACCTAGTAAGCAGTAGAGCTGGGATTCAAATCTAGATTTAGCCTAAGACCTATCCATCTAAATGCAGAATTAGATACAAAGGCTACATGCTGAAATGAAAAGAAAGGTGGTCGAGAGAAGGAAGAACTACAAATAACATCAGTGATATGGGAGATAAACGTGAAGAGCTCTCACGGAATGTGAAGGAAGTGACAAAAAGATTAAAATGATAATTCAGAAGATGACAGCAAAAATAAACACTGACCTTAAGAAGAAAGCCACTGGAACACAAACAATAACCAAACACAGAAAATGCAGAAAAAGAAACTGTATCAGAGTTAAAAAAAAAAAAAAAAAGATCACCCAAAAACCAAGATCATAGGCAAATTAAGCTACAGAATTCAATAAAATATTGTAACTATGAGGACAAATGAAAAATTATATAAACACACAGGTGAGACAGGTTGTGGGCCAAGGAATGAAATTTAGAATGGTCTCCAATATATCCTATGAAATAAAGTACAGATGCCTCAAATAGCATATAACCAGCAAACTCAACATTCACATGTGAAGGCTAAGACCATCTTAGATAAGCAAAAGTGGAGAAAATACACCACTGCAAGGCCTTTATGACTAAGTTACTTGAATTCACATTCCATTCAATGTGAAGATGAGTGAAATTAAGAATGAATTCAAGAATGGAGTTTTATGAAAATAAATAAATAAATAAAAAGGACCAGTAGTTCTCACTAAAACCAGTTACAGGAAAGCTTAGATGTAAATGTAATTATGAAACTTTTAAGGCAAAGAGAAACAATTTCTTTTTAGCGAAGCCATGGCATGTAAATATCTTAAACTTTAATAATAATTTGGATAGAAAGCACAGATTACTTAACAAAAGCTAAAAATTGGGAGTGGGCAGGGGAAGAAAAACAGAAAAAGTGTACACTAAATTTAACCCTTTCATGAATTCAGAATTATTTTCTGCTTTGAATTTTTGAGTTGAAACAATGTGTCTTCAAGTAATGGACGGAATGCTAAAATCAAGGGGGAGCTTTTTTTTCTTTGAGGTAATATAAATTTGGATATAATTACGTGAGACATGTCTCAAGTAGCTCTGGTGTAGCACTGGTGGGACGAGGCCAGATTCTTGAATTTACACAGTTATACATACCCACACCAGGTGGCAGCCAAACCACAACGGTGATAGAAGCTTCCCAAGAAACCTGAGAGGCTGAAAATGCTGATGGACAACATACGTCCCAGGAGTTACGAAAGGGTTAAAGGAGGTGAAGGAAACTCAAAATACACCATTTTAGTTAAGCTTCTAATCATATGAATTCTAGGTTAAAAAAAAAAGTGTTTTGGAAATGCGTATGTTACCACCTATAGAAGTGAAGACATCATCCACAGCATAGGTGAAGAGAAACCAAAGCAAACATAATCCACACAGTCAAGATAGGAAAACACAGGAAGAAAGGATAAACTGAAGGAAACCGTGATACAGATGACATCAGGAAAATCAAGTGTGCCATTTAGAACTATGAATGTAAATGGGGTACACTCTCCTACTGAAGGGGACTCACACTGGGTTAAAAAGTTAAGTTAGCTACACACATATAAATATCCTTAGACAAAGGATCCAAACTTTCAGTGGTAATAGTAGTGAACCAAGGGGAGAGCAGTAAATAAAACTATGATTTTTTTTTTTTTTAAGGCGAAGGTAGACAAAATTATTTAGAGAGAACACACGTTGTTGTTGTCAGGTGCCAATGAGCTGACTCCGACTCACAGCGACTTTATGAATGAAACACCGTCCGGCCCTGCACCAGCCTCACAGTCCTTGCTATACGTGAGCCCGTCGTTGCAGCCACTGTGTCAGTCCATCTTGTTGAGGGTCTTCCCCTTTTTTGCTGACCCTCCACTTTACCAAGCATGATCTCCTTCTCCAGGGAATGGTCCCTTCTGACAACATGACCAAAGTAGGTGAGACTAAGTCTGGCCATTCTCACTTCCAAGGAGCATTCTAGCTACGCTCTTCCAGGGCAGATTTGTTCATTCTTCTGGCAGTCCATGGTATTTTCAGTATTCTTCGCCAACACCACAATTCAAAGGCATCAACTCTTTGGTCTTTATTCATCGTCCAACTTTCCCATACATATGAAGCAACTGAAAACACCATGGCTT